GACCCCAAAACACCCCAACCCCCCCAACAAGGAGTTCAATCCCCTCCCTGGGGGGGGCTAGGGGGGCAAATCCCACCCCCCTCCTAATTAAAAAGGGGGGAGCAACGTGGTCCAGCCCTGCCAGGAGGCCCAGGAAGGCCTCATTTCTCCCCTCCCCCCCAAAAAAACCCATGTTTTGACACCATTTTTGCTCATTTCCCCCCAAAATCAGAACTGAGGGGGGTGTGTGACAAAACCTCATATTTTACTGACTTGGGGGGTCCTGGAGACCCCAAAAACCCGAGAGATAAAGGGGGGTTGCCCACTGTGCCCTCCCCCCCCCACCCCAAAAAGAGGAAATGCTACCACTGGGAAGAGGAAAAACATGAATTAAAAATAAAATAATCAGCATTTAATTCCAATTAAAGCCAGAAATTTCTATTTTTGAACCAAAATCCCTCAGATTTGAGTGTGTTTGGGGGTTAAAAAGTAGAACCCGACCAGTCCCCGGCCACATGCACCAGGAGACAAGGAAGGGAGAGGTTAAATTAATATTTAAAAAAAAGGGATTTCTTTTTTTTTTAAATTAAAATTTGCCCTTTTTTTTGAATTAAGAACATGGAGCAGAAGGTTGTGAAATGGAATTAAAGGGTGTTTTTTTTGTGCTTACCCGGAGCCTTGTGGTTGTTCCCCTGTAAAACCAACTTCCCCTTCGCTTCCTAAGCCTGGAGCACCTCCAAAATGGGGCAAAATTGATGGCAAAACGGGAAAAAAGAAGCAATTTTGGGGGTGCCCCCCCCAAAATAGTCATAAATAGGCATTTTTGGGGGGTTGTTTTTGAGGGGGGTGAAGCCCTGTGGTAGCATTTCCCTGTCACGATAAATTCAAGGTTATAAGTTGTTTTTTTTTCCCCTGAAAAACCCACGGGGGGGTGGCTAAAATGAAAAATTAAAAGGGGGGGAGGAAAAGGGGGGTTAAAAATATTAAATTTGGGGGGTTTAGGGAGAGAAATGGGGTTTTTAGGGAGGTAAAAAAAGGGTTGTTTGGTTGTTTTGGCACAAAAGCAGCTCAATCCTGTGGAGGAAAAGGTGGGAAAAGGGGGGTTTGGTTAAAAGGGGGGAGGTTGAAAAGGTGAGGAGGGATTTTTGAAGGGGTTAATTATTTTTTTTTGAGATTTTTAAAGAGGAAAAAAGGTGTAAAAAGAGGGGGAATGAAGCCGGGCCGGGGGGAGGGGTTTGGGCAGCGGTTGCATCAGCAACGAGGCCCCGGCGCCATTTTAACCGCATCAGAAAAAAACAGCTTAAAATGAACTAAAAAAAGGCCAATTTCCCAAAGAAAAAAAGGGGGGAGGACACAGACAAAGCACCGAACCCCGCGATTCAAGGGGATGAAGGATTTTAGGGGTATTTTTTCACACACACCGCCCCCCCC